GATCACAAGTGTTGTCTTTCAGGTATGCACAGTTCTCCAAAGGCATCTCTCTTGGTTTTGTCTAAAATAACTTCCTCATTCGATGTTGGGTTTTTTTGCCCTTTTTTTTGGGAAAAAAAGAGCTGTATTCGTTTTCATTACTAGGAATTGTGGATGTTGTTAGTCACCTCTATAAACATCAATCAGATCTGAAAGAGGGAGGATTGTAGAGTCCTCTTGGTGTATTTGTTAGTTAGGTTCATTCATAAAGTTCTATATTCTGTAGTGATAAACTTCAGCTTAAGGGAATCTCATAGTCAAATCAGAAAAATACTTCAGCACAGGTTCTTAATGTTATGAAAAAGAGCTGGTGGGAAATTTTAAAAATAGAGAAATATCCTTGAAGAAAGGATTTAAAAAATGCTTAAGCCACCTGAGCCATTTTCCTTTGAATGTCAGTCTTTTTATCTCAGCTTCTTGGCAACCTGCTACACTGTCTGAGTGGTGATGATGTCTATTTTCCTGTTTGCTGCTTTGTGGTGTTTCTAACTGAATGCCTCTCTCTTTTTAATTTCTGTGGCAGCATCCCTTGCTCCTCCTCCCCCCTCCATCCTACAGGTAACTCCACAGTTACCATTAATGGGATTTGTGGCCAGAGTTCAAGAAAACAGTAAGTTTGCTGCTTCCTCATGCTATGTTTTATTCCTGGGTGTGACCTTTGTTTTGAGTTGATGAAAGGTTTGCCTGTATGTAGCCGGAATTCTGCCTTCTCTACTGCCTCTGCAAGTTTGTCTGAATTTGTGATGGGTGGGAAAAGGAGATAATTTTATTGTCTCTGGTGTCTTCACAAGTTGTAACTGTTGGTCCCAGTGCAACTAATTGGGATAGGGAGTTACTACTTCAACCTGCTACCATGGTTTTAGAGACATCTTCAAGGTTGTACTATTGTTTATTTTCAGTTTCAGATACTCCTCCCCCACCACCGCCTGTGGATGAAACAGTGTTTGATGAGTCTCCACCTCCACCCCCACCTCCAGAGGATTATGAGGAGGAGGAAGCAGCTGTGGTGGAGTACAGTGATCCCTATGCTGAGGAGGACCCTCCTTGGGCACCAAGGACCTACTTAGAAAAGGGTATGTTTAGAGCTAGTAGAGACAGTAGGGTTGTGTTTGTGAGAACATTTTGCATGAGCTCTTGCCATCCTGCTTTCGGACATGGAGGCTGCCTAGACTCTTTCCTGGCCAGTGTTTGGTATTGTGGTAGAGGTGCTCCTCCAAATGGCAACTTAAAAGAACGGAAGTTAAGCTGCTCTTACAAGTCTGACTTTTTTACCCCCTTTCTTCACAAAGGAAAGATAATGACCAGCTGGCTAACTATGTGTTTTTTAATTCCTCTCTAATCTACCTAAGACTTACCTTTCACTTAATCCTGAGAATCAAACTCTCATATGAGGTCAAAAGTGAATGAATCAGTGCTGCAGTTGCACTGGAGCTTTGAAGATATGGGTGCAGCTGGTGAAGTGTGTTTGGGGCTGTGCTAAGCTAAGAAGCACTGAGTCTGTGTGGGACTGACTAACTGAGGCACTGCTGTGTGGCTGCATCTCAGTGTTTTCTGGTTCTAAAGCAGGTGTGTGGAAACATGCTGGAGTAGAACTACAGGTAAAATCAACTAAGCAGGTAAATGGTCCACTTGAATATGGTAAAATCTACTGCCTGGGGCTCTCCTGTAAAACAGGGTCACATAACTCTTACTCTAAAGGGTGATATAAAATCTAATCTAATGTGGCAAAGCAACCAAGCATCTCACCTGACTGTTAGACCCATTCAGGCTGTATCGGGGGAAAAAATACCAAGAATGCCACAAAGATAAACCCAGTGCAGGACATGAGTGGATGCAAAAAAAAAAAAAGATGGAAAAGGCACATTCTGCCAACTGCAGCTTGAAGAAAATAGTACTGTTCCTGAGGGAAATGGAGGAATATGTGGGAGTTCTGTGTTACTCCCCCACCCCCATTTAGCAGCTGTGTTCAGTGCAAGGAGTACCCAGGCTCTGCTGACAAGGTAAGGCTACGTCAGACAAAGTGCCTGATCTGCAGGGTGTTTACTTGACTTGCTTTATCTGTTGACCTCTCCACACCTCTGATGGCCAGAAAGGGTCAGTGTTGTTCTATTGATGCACACAGGCTCCTTGATTAAAAGATGCTTTAGCTTATTGTGGTCAGGAAAGCTTTTTTCTATGAGGCAGGACGAGGGAAAAAGGGATCTTATAAACAATGTACTCTTTTTGCTGTGCAGTTTGGAGGCTATTCAGGTTGGTCTGTTTCTAGAAACACTCATAAGACTAATAGAAATTGAAGTGCTTTCAATGTATAACGAGTTATTAAATAGTGGGTTTAGGATACCAGAAAAAAAGAGAAATTGACATAGATGTGGATTCTGTTGTAGTTACATGAATAGTTCTACTTGCATTCAGCCCATGTGTTGAGATTTACTGCTTTGCTGGAGCTGGAAGAGAAGTGCTTGGCTGTGAATTTTTTTGTAGCAAACAAGCTTTAAATTTAATGAAAAGCCTCATGCAAAAAGAGGACTTTCATACTCAAAGAATGTGTACACTTATCCTGCTGGGAATTATAATGCTTTATCTTCTGTGAAATAATTTATCCTGTGGCAACTCCTTAAGTTCCTATAAATAGTATTCTGTGCCACATGATTCAGGGAGGACAAAACTGATGACTGTTCCAACACTGTTACCCCCAGCAAGCACAGTAGCAATTCCTAGGATTTGTGCTTGTTCTTTTAGGTGTTCTGCTATCCAAGTTCGTATGAAAGCATTTGTAATAGGATGAGGGTAGATGACTTTTGCAATAGAAGCTGAGACACCCAGGAGCTGTCAAATACAGAGCTGCTCTATATCGAAATGGGATTCAGTAGGAACCTGTTCTGTAAAGGGGTCAAGCAGTGTGGGAGGTACCTTTAACTTTGAGATATGCTCTAACCTACAGCTGAGGAAGGAAGTGAACACCAGATCCATTTTGAACAGATGGAGAAACTCTTAGGTAGGACATAGTTACTGGGGATGTTGAACTTGTGGACACTACTGTGTGACTGTAATAGCAACAGCCAACCTCAATGTCCAGGGATGCACATTGCATTTTTCTTTTGAACTCTGTGTCTGGATGTGTGGCAGGAAAAGGTAAGAAAATGTCCCAGCTTTGCATATCAGATGAACAAAAATGGGTATCCAGAAGGAAAAATTGCCTTTATACCTCATACAGTAATCGTATGGTCACAACTATCAGATTTTGGTTGAATCAGCCTGGCCTACAGCTGTGGTCAGTTGGACATAAGAGAGTTCAGCCAAACTCTGTTTAATTGTTAAAGAACCAAAAATGACTGATTGGAAGAATATCAACCTAAATGAGTAATTCTTTTTTTTGTAACTGCCTTGAAACGTGTTCAGATAGAACTAAAAGAGGCCCTGGCTCAGGCTCTCAGGGAAGGATGCCACCTCCTGAGTCAGTGTTGCTGCTTCCTGTCTCATCTGGAGCCTTTTTTGCAATACTGGCCTGGACTCCTGGTAACTTGTGGCATCTGACAAGCTCACAGCTTGAACTGGTGGGACTACAGACAGAAGGATTAAACAGCCTTTTAGAGAGAGGAGCGTTGCCAGTACAAAAATAACACACAGGAGGAAGCAATGGTGATGTAAAAACAAAACCAGGCTTCAGGTAATTTTAAAAGAGGCTTAACAAGAAGCAAATGTTCATCACAAACTTACGGAAGAGTTTCCTTCTTGTGGTCATGAAATAATGAATCCATTCAGTATCAGAAGGGGCTAAAGTTCACTCAAAAATAAGAAGGAAAGGAATCAGAAGTTACTGTGATCCTTGGAGTATTTTTATCAAGAGAATGAAGAACAACAGCACAGTGACTCTAGGATGAAATTTTAAAATTGAAAAGTAATTTTGAAGGACTTTAATCAAATGTATCACATGTTCTTACAGTGACTTCTGTCAAGCTAAAAATTTACTCATTTTTCTATTTGTTTTGTTTGTGTAGAGTTGTACATCTAAAACTAATTCGAACGAGTTACTTTACAACTCTGCTGGCCCAAGTGTAGAGCCAGAACATGTGTTTTTTAAATATGTTCTAATCAAATGATACCAAAAAATAGAATAAAGTCTCTGTACATACTCCAGTTCTCCACTGGGATTGATCTGTATATTTTATACTCTCTTCAGGATCCAGGTTTCCCTAGTAAATATTTGTGTCGATTCCTTTGCTCCCTCAAAAGGAAATTACTTCTTTTCTTTGGAAAAGAATGATGAATTTAGTAGGACTCTTGGACACGGCTCACAAACACAAGCTGTTAATTTTTAGCCCTTGCTTTCGTTTAGAGTATCTGTCCCCAGCACAAGATTTTAGGATCCCTGTGCCACATCCATTTTGTTTCAATGGCAGCACTGCATGTTTCATTGCCAAGTGCTCAAAGCAGTCAGTGGTTGATGCTATCTGTTAAAGTGCTCAGAGTCTGGCATAACTAATTTTCTATGGAACACATAATGATAGGACTGAGAATGGAAAAAGTATCAAGTTGATGTCTCTGTTCTGCCATTTCAGGACAATGTCCTGTTTAATATTTGCCAGTACTTTGTCCAATTTCTTTTGACTTTCCTAACAGCTTTTGAGCCTTCAGTAAAATATTCTGCAGTTGCAAGAAAAATGTTCTGATACAGTATGTGTACTTTTTTTCCCCCCACCTTTCTTCTTTGTAGCTCCTAACAGGGGTTCACCCACCTTGGTGCTGTATACCCTGGGAGAGGCTGGTAGCTACTGAGGCTGCATATATGTGTCTCACAGATTTAAATGAGGATGTAGCTAAGGTAGATGGAAGTCTGGGACATCAGCCTCAGCTCGTTCTTACAGTGATCTGAGTGGAGCTCCCTCTTGCATGCTTTCCAGCTGACTGTTAGTTGTGCTGAGGTCTGGTTTAGCACACACATCTAGTACATGAATCTTGGAGTAGGTCTGAGTGGTCATAGCTATGGGGAGTTACGTCCATCTCCTTGTATCATCTCACACCACAAGCTCATCATACAGTTGTCACCTTCCTCAGGTGGGTCTGGAAATAGTAAGAACAGAAAAGTTAAAGGAGTCCTGGCTTGTGTGCTTCAAAGCATGAGCTCTTACAAAGGGATTGGAAGGAGCTGTCCCGCTCAGCAGGCCATTGAGCACACATTGAGGTGAGGCACTGCAGTTGTCTGAGATTGACTGGAGTGTGGACACCTCTGGATGAGGTAGGGTGATTTGATTTTCCTCATCCCCCCCATATGTCTCCTAACAGTCCTGCTCTGTTCTTTCCTAGTGGTGGCCATCTATGACTACACCAAGGACAAAGAAGATGAGCTCTCATTTCAGGAAGGTGCCATCATTTACGTCATCAAGAAGAATGATGATGGCTGGTATGAGGGGGTGATGAATGGAGTGACCGGGCTCTTCCCAGGGAACTATGTGGAGTCCATCATGCATTACTCAGAGTGAAGACTAGAGGACACAACATTGCATCTCCTCCTGCAGGAGCTGTCTGGGCTTCCCAGATCTCCACCAGCCTCTGGGGCTCCATCCAGTATAACTGAATGAAGGATAATTGTAACAACCACTCTTTTGGATTTGGTTTGAGGTTTTTTTTCTTTTTTCCCCTCATTATAAAACAATAGTGATTTGAGTTGTTTGAACAAATGGCTCTTCCAGCTGCCAGCAGAGGCTATTCTGAGCCATCTGACTTTGAATTAAGCTGACCCATTCAGAAATAACGAACTTGTTGAGTAGCTAATACTTCACTCGAATTCTGACTTCTTCTGACAGGCTTTGGGATCTGTCTCAGGAATCCTGTGTGCCCTCATGGTACTACCCTTGGCAGCAGTGCCTGGCACTGGGGATGTCCTGGATGCTTGTGGTGAAGGTTACTGGCCAGTGGACATCCCTCCTGTTTCTACACTACATTCCTGTGCAGCTGGAAGAACAGTTGTGTGCTAGCAAATGCTGGGATTTCTACACAGAGACGTTCCTGTAACTGACTTCCAGATAGTTGGATACATCTTAGTGTAAACACTTCTGCAGCTGCTGTGCACATGTAGGCTGACAGGGGCACACAGAGCTGGCTTTATTCACTCACCTTTCAGTTTAGACAATTAAGATGGCTGCAGCCCAGAAGACCCCCCCAACCCCCATTTCCTCATCTTTTGAATACCACCGATTTGTTTTGTGTTCTGCACTGATGTAAACGTGCTCCTCTCCACAGTGAGCTGCTCGCTGTGGTTGCTGCCGGTTCAAACAGGACTCACAGGTGCCGTTGATGGTGAAGGCGAAACAAAGTTTACAGGTCCTCCTGGGGTCTGAGGATAAACTCTAGGGGGTGTGATCTAAGGTTCAAATCTACTCATGCCTGCTTGCACTAGAGAAACTTGCCCCCAGCTTTAGTCTTATGCACAATATAATCTTAAAAATCCAATCAGGTATTGTAAATTGGCTATTTTGTACTTGATGACTAGATTTGCATATGTACTGTGAGAGCCCTGTGCAGAGGCAGGACAAATGGCAATTGTTGTCTTCATGTCTGTTGCCAAAATCTCTTCAGTGGAAGTAAAAAGGGCTGTTGTGTGTACTGGTTTCCCATGGAAATCCAAGCAGTAACTAGTAGTAGTCCTAGCTCTTCCCCTAGCCCTCTCCATTGTTTATTATAAAGAACTAGGTATTTTGAGCTGTACTGGTGGCTTGGGCTGGATTAATACCACGTGAAGGCTCTGTAGCCCCTTGTGATGATACTTGGCTTTTTAATCTAGTCTCAGTTAAAAATGCTGCTCAGTGATGTAAGTGATGGCTGTACTAGTCTGCCCTTAGGATGGTCTAAATGTTACATTTGGGTAAATGTCATGCATTAACAAGAGTGAACTGACTAAATTTCCCATTGAGTATTGTTAGCCTGCAGATTGAGCTGATCCTGTATTGTGAGAGCCTCCTGGGCCAGGGCACCTTCCTGGACAACTGTTGACTGTCATCCAGCCAAGTTCTAGCTGGTACCAACAGTAGCTTGTCCAAGGTGAGACAGTGCTGCAGCTTCTTGGAGAAGCCTGTGTGTAAAAACAGTGCAGTGCACAGGAGAGTGCTACTGCAGCTGGGTCTGTGATGGTATTGGCAACAGTACAGGTAATTAACCCAATCCCTTGCTTGACAATTAGTGCAATATCAGGATGGAAGGTGCAGATCTGGTGCAAACCTGGGCAGAGAGGTGCCACAGCTGTTCAAGGGGGAAGAAAGAGGAAACAAACAGGTGAGGTGTGTTTGTAGGACATGGATGAATGTGATCACCTGCTGCGAGCTTGTGGAACTTCTGTGACAACATGTAAGGAACTGGTTTGGTTGAAGTCTACAGGAGGGACAACTTTGAAGAAACTGGTGCACAGATAGAAGTTACTGTCTCCACCGCTCAGTCCACAGATGTGTAGCCAAGGCACTGTTGTCTTGTTTCTGGAAGCTGACAGCATTATTGTTTGGGATGAGTGTTAGCCAGAACAGATAATCTTTTTTTTTTTTCCTCTGTGAAAACTTGTCTTGCAGCAAGACTAACAGAAGCAGTCATGTTCAGTTCCCTCAGCCCATCATTTCTCTGGGAGCAAGCCTAGAACTGGTTTTGCTGTCACTGGAATGACTGTTTGTGGTGTCATTGGGCAGGTCTACACTTCTGGCACGGGGAGGGGGTGGTTGCAGCCCAGGTGATTGAACAGCAGCATTCACAAATGTTTGGTGCTCACAGGGCAGCTGTGTTTCCCAGGACTGTCAGAGCTTTCCTGGCTTCTCTTGCCCTGCCATGTTTGTGGCAAAGACTGAGCCCAAATGCATCATTTAGGGCAGATTAGTGAGAGCTGAACCCCTCTCTCTCCCTGTGCACCCGTGCTCCAGCTGGCAGGTCACACATTAGTGAAATGTGACTTTAACCCAGTCTGTGTTAGAGCATGTGCTTGAACACTTCTGACAGGTGTATGGGGATGGTGTGTATTTCCGCTGTGTGTGATGATACACACCCATGTCCTTCATCTTCATTCAGTTGCTTTTTTCATCTTGCAAGTTTTGGGAGAGCAGAGTGGCGTGAGCTGAGCACTTGCCAGAGCTGCAAAACCCTGAGAGCAGAATGTGTCATGCTCCTTGAAGAACTGGCTTTAGTCTGATGGGTCAGGGGTTAGTTTGGTCCCTGCTGATAGCATGTGGAATTGTTTATCCTGCAAGAACTGCTGTGGATGGAATTTTTGGGTCACCTCCTACTGGTTTTATGCTTTATTATGCAGTACTAACGTAAAGAAATTTGTTGCATTTTATGCATATTTTAATTTTGTACAGATTTTACTTCTGTGGCTTGTTTGGGGATGATGTGATGTAATGGTCATAGACCAGGCCGAGGTTAACAGGCTTTGTATATTAATGTTACATAGATTGCATGCTAGTAAAGTCAGTGAGGGTTGTGTTTCCAGTTTTGTCCCTTGTACTTCTCCTTGCCCAAAACCTCCTCTTCCCCACCCCTTTTTAATGTACAGATTTACTTTAAAAGGGGATGGCAAATGGGGGGTGGAAGGCAGGGGAGGAACACCTCAGTATTTCAAATAGGTGCACATCATCTCTTCACTGCAGAGTTCTGCTGCCACAGCTTAAAGGTGTTCAGCATCACAGGCTGTTGAAGCAGGAGTGTGTATATATGAGAGGTGGGAGGGGGAGGGAGGAGACATGCCAGCATAGCCCAAAGAATGCTGTATGGCCAAAATGAGTATGTTTCTCCCTTTATGAGAACTGCCTTAGCCCAGCCAGCTGTTCTTACTGTGCACAGAAACTGTTCAGCATCCTCTAGTGGTGTGTTTTGCCCTGCTTTGCTGTATCAGAGGTTTCTTCCTTGCTCTTGGCCCCAGGGACAAAGCTATTAACTACAGCTGCTTCTCTGTCACGTGCCTGCATGAGAGGAGGTCCAACTGAGTCTGTCCACATCTAGTGCTGAAGCAGGTTAATTGTGGTGCCTTCTTTCCAGCCTAAAAGAGATGGCTGAGGTTGCATGTGTCTCACCTTTTTTTCCCCCCCCCTTCCTTTTTTTTTTTTTTTCCAAGCTACACATTACTCCTGTATATTTTTACATTTATATCATAGAATCATGACATTATGTATATATATGAGCCCTTCAGAAGCCTAAACTTCAGATAATGGATATTATAAATGCTCAATTTGAGGCAGTCTCTTACTGGCTGTTGCAGCAGAGGGCTGAGAGGGCCAGGAGAGGCAAGCAGCAAATTTTGTGCTTGACCATCCTGATGGTGTGTCAATGTGCGCTGGCTGGAGTGGGCACCAGAGAGATGAAGCAATGTCTGGCTACTGAGACAGAGGCAGATATTAATGCACTGAAGAGCCATCGCTCTCACTGGAGGACAGGAGGTGTGGCATGGCCCTGAGGTAGATGACAGAGCTTGGTGAGTGTTCCCAGGAGGCTGTGTTCCCTGAATTCAGCTTGCCCTTACACTTAGTTGAGCTGGTTCTTCTGCAAGTGGCTGGAGATTGCTGGTGGGTGTGAACCACAGCTTCCCCCAGTTTACTGGTCTGTGGCGAGTGGCTAACCCCTGGGTGCCAGAAAGGCTTAGACCAAGCTAGTTCTTGCTAGAGCAGTTTGTTCTCCATTCACAGCTGCTGGGCAGGTTTTTTTTTTGCTGAGGGTTCTTGGTGACAGCCAAAGTTGACACTGGCAGTAATGGAGCTTCTGAGAAGTGCCACTTCCACCTAGGGCATTTCAGTTGATCATGAGAGGAAAGTGAGACAGTAGCAGGACTGATGAGCCTTTTCTGGTAGAGGGTGTGCTGCCTGCCTGCTGTGTCTGTGCATATTGTTGACTAAAGCTAGAAGAGAGCTGTGCACCAATACTGTTGTGCACCTGTGGTGTCTCCCACCTATGCTTGATGGTGACTTAATGCTGTGATCTTCCTAGCAACTTCCACCACCTCCTAGCAAATGCTGTGGATGTGTGTGTCTGCTGGAAATGAGGTTGCTTTTTTATTAGTTATGTCTCTGGCCTCCAGACATCAGGCAAAACTTCCATGTTTTCCTTTCTGGAAAGGATGGGACTTGACGTGGATTAGTAAACTGAGACCATTTACAGGGCTTCTCCTCCCAGAGGTGGGGCAGAACATTTTGTAAAACAGGCAACATCTGTATTCTCTGCAGGCCAACATTTTTTGGAAGCTGCTAGAGGATGCCGTTGAAAAGACCATGGTGCTGTGGCTTCTACTGGGATCAGTACTTGCATTCAGAGTATAGAATAGAGTCACTGATCATGCACTGCAACATTTCAGGCAGCATTACAAACCCCAGGCAGCAACTTCAGTTCCTGTGTTGGCACCTGTGGCAATGTACAACACACTTGCATTGCTAAGGCAAGTATTTACACCCCTAATCTCTAGGGAAGATGGTGGTAAAGACTGAGCACTAGCAGGTGCACTAGATGGGCTATAGCTTATGGGGTGCCACTTACAAGAATTTACTGTGCTTACAGGTATATTCAATGTCCCCATCTTTTGGCATCTCCCAGTATTAGGCACTGCCACATTTTGTGGATAAAATGGTTTTACTACACAGAGGTCAGAACAGAACAAGAAGGGACCAAGATGTGGTTTGGTCCTGGGTCCTCCTCGTCTGTACCCTCCCTCCCCAGTAGCTGAAGTCAGTGTGTATTAACAGTCCTATTAATCTACTTCTAATTTTAAAACTTCAAGAACAGTGGGACCCCCACCTCATGTCT